AGCACCCGCCAAATTGTCTTCCGACATATTGAAAATGTAATACTGCATTCAAATGTATTTAACGAAATATTCCATTCAAATGTATTACTGCAGTAAAATGTAAAAACGGAATATTCATTTGAAAATGTAATGCTTACGGGGGGGGGGGGGAATAACATGATTAATGAGTTTAAAGATTTGTTTAGTAAGGTGTCTGAAGTGAGTTGTTGTTCTGGGATATTCCCCTTCCCCCCCCCCCCCCTTGTTGTTCTGTGATATTCACCCCCCCCCCCCTTGTTGTTCTGGGATATTCACCGCCCCCTTGGTGTTTTTGGATATTCACCGCCCCCTCTTGTTGTTCTGTGATATTACCCCCCCCCCCCCTTTGTTGTTCTGGATATTCACCCCCTCCCCCCTGTTGTTCTGTGATATTCACTCCCCCCCCCTGTTGTTCTGTGATATTCACTCCCCCCCCCTGTTGTTCTGTGATATTCACCCTCCCCCCCCCCTTGTTGTTCTGTGATATTCACCTTCCCCCCTGTTGTTCTGGGATATTCACCCTCCCCCCCACCTGTTGTTCTGGGATATTCACCCCCCCCCCCTTGTTGTTCTGGGATATTCACCGCCCCCCTTGGTGTTTTTGGATATTCACCGCCCCCTCTTGTTGTTCTGTGATATTAACCCCCCCCCCCCCCCCCTTTGTTGTTCTGTGATATTCACCCCCCCCCCCCTTGTTGTTCTGGGATATTCACCGCCCCCTTGGTGGTTTTTGGATATTCACCGCCCCCTCTTGTTGTTCTGTGATATTAACCCCCCCCCCCCTTTGTTGTTCTGTGATATTCACCCCCTCCCCTGTTGTTCTGGGATATTCACCCCTCCCCCCTGTTGTTTTGGGATATTCACCCCTCCCCTGTTGTTCTGGGATAATCACCCCCTCCCCCCTGTTGTTCTGTGATATTCACCCTCCCCCCCCCCCTTGTTGTTCTGTGATATTCACCTTCCCCCCTGTTGTTCTGTGATATTCACCCCCCCCCCCCCTGTTGTTCTGTGATATTCACCTCCCCCCCACCTGTTGTTCTGGGATATTCACCCCCCCCCCTTGTTGTTCTGGGATATTCACCCTCCCCCCTTTTTGTTCTGGGATATTAACCCCCCCCCCCCCCCCATCTTGTTGTTCTGGTATATTCTCCCCCATGCTAGTTGATCACGACGATTATAAGGGGCATAGAATTAAAGTTAAAGTCTTGTGATCACACGGACACGTCTTTACGGGTTTTCCAATGAGTTGCGCAACATACAAGACAAACAGAGTTTCTGCCCCACCCCCAGAAAATTTTAGTCCGCCCCCCACCCCCCCCCCCACCCCGAAAATTTTAAGTGCTGTTCTGTGATATTCACCCCCCCCCCTGTTGTTCTGTGATATTCACTCCCCCCCCCCCCTGTTGTTCTGTGATATTCACCCTCCCCCCCCCCCTTGTTGTTCTGTGATATTCACCTTCCCCCCTGTTGTTCTGGGATATTCACCCCCTCCCCCCTGTTGTTCTGTGATATTCACCCTCCCCCCTTTTTGTTCTGGGATATTAACCCCCCCCCCCATCTTGTTGTTCTGGTATATTCTCCCCCATGCTAGTTGATCACGACGATTATAAGGGGCATAGAATTAAAGTTAAAGTCTTGTGATCACACGGACACGTCTTTACGGGTTTTCTAATGAGTTGCGCAACATACAAGACAGAGTTTCTGCCCCACCCCCAGAAAATTTTAGTCCGTCCCCCACCCACCCCCCCCCCCCCCACCCCCACCCCGAAAATTTTAAGTGCCCCTCCCCCGAAAAAAAAGTCTGGAAGAAACACTGAAGACAAACAACCATCAACGAGATTCAAAACACAAGACCAAATAAAACAAAGGCCGGTTACAATAGTAATACCAAAAGTTGAACTGCCATCTACTCTATCTACAAAAAAATTAACACAGCCTGTTCTGAATAAATAACACACAAAATTTCACCTATCTAGGATACAGAACTAAGATGGACAGAACCAAACTACACTAACCTGGTAATGGAAGATTTAAGTACTAGACACTGAGGCACTGAAGCACCCAGTCACCTACTTTTTATACCCGTACAAAAACAAGTACCACGTGATTATAGTCATCTCACAACACGAGGGGTGAACTCTAGGGGTCGAGACATGTTGCTACGTACAAACAACACTCACCCTACACTGGGGTCAGCGTGGTCGGATAGATTAAACTCATGGTTGCTGAACCGAAAAACCCCGAATTCAAACACTTCCCTACACTACATTAAGGTAAGAATCGGGTTTAAAAGCAAATAGACTAAGAATTAAAGTTAAATGTATTTCACAGTAAAAACAAATAATAAAAGCGAAGATCGCTCATGATACCCCTCTAACGTTTAGCAACCAGAGTTTTCTAGACTAGATATTAATAGAAAGAAGATATATTTTCTAATTTTTTAGTACATTAAAATTATTATTTTAAAAGTGTGTAGCCTAATTTTATTTCCGATACTTTTAATGTTTCATCGGGAAAACAATACATTCCCTTATTGTTATGAGTCCCTTTACAAAATAATGTATGGAATATTGCAACTTTTAATACAGTTTAATAAATTAAAGGAAAGTAATAAAACCTTTTGTAAACACTGGTACATTTTGTGTGTTTACTTCCCTTGCATTAAGTTCTTGAGAACATGAAAAAAAATCATCTTATAGGTTGGGAAAATGGATTATGAAATAAATAGCCGGATTATTTACATGGAACAGAAACATGTGAACTCTACTTCACCCGCCACATGGACCGTCAGGTTCGAAAGGATACATTACTACTTAGACACCACAGAAATATGCACATTTTCTGCTAAGTATATGTTAGTTCCAAAGAGCTGACTTCAATGTATTAAGTGTTAAATGCACGGTCGATGGCTGAATATTTGGAATATATAATGTTCCTTCAGGTTTGGTGTAATATTCTGTTGGTTCATAGTGTATGTATTATTTTGTAAACATTTTCATGTTGCATGTGTTGTTTTGTAAAAATTTCATCTTGCATGTATTGTTTTTTTTTTTATTTTCATCTTGCATATATTGTTTTGTATAAATTTTCATGCTGCAAGTTTTGTTTTGTATAAATTTTTATGCTGCATGTATTGTTTTGTAAAATGTTTTATATTGCATGTATTGTTTTGTAAAACTTTTCATGTTTCCTGTATTGTTATGTACACTTTTTCATGCTGCATGTATTTTTCGATAATGTTGGTTCATGTTGCATGCTTTGTTGAGTAATTTTTAAAATGTTGGTTTAGGATCCGTGTATTGTTATGCAATGCAAATTTTTGAAAAAAATAGAAGAGATTGTTTCTATTAAAAGACGTACACTAGGGAAGCATACATAAAATCGAAAACTGAATTTGTTTTGTTTTTATGTTCTTTTTTCATATTTTTGTTGTTTTTTTTTAAGTATATAGAAAATTCTCGTGAGTTAAAGTGATGTTACATATATATATATATATATATATATATATATATATATATATATATATATATATATATATATATATATATATATATATATATATATATATATATATACCATACCATACTATGTTTTTTACAAGCAAGTTTTCAAGCACGACAAACCACCTTTCAATCATTAACCTGACATAAATGTATTATCCAACTCTCACCATCAGTCTACACTAAGCCATGGTACGGCTAACCAACACTACACACAAAACATTGTAAACATTACCAATGGAAACTTGTTCTTCTAAATTAAATGTATATTTGGAAAAATAAGAGAAAGAAACATTTTTCTTTAGAAAGGTATCTTTATTTCAACCATCAAACGAAACATATAAATACGTTTATCGATAAAATCACGTTTGGTTTAGTATTATTAAAAACAACACAAATGTTTTTATAAATTAAGCTCTAACCTGAGGAGAGAAAAAAAACGAAAATAATATGTATGTATGCATCTAACAAATAAAAAATAGAGTACGTCTCGGTTTTATTTCGCATTTCTACAATTGTAATTACTTCTTTTTAATATTGTTGATTTAATAACTCTAAGAGCGATTTTCCTGTTTTACAAATGAATAAATCTATATTTGTGCAAAACGTCGGGCAATTTTATTTTGTAATCAAAATAATTTTTTCAACAATTACAGCATGTTCGCACTTTATGTTTTATTTCCTATTTAAATATATATGCAAGACATACCATATTTTTAAAAAATTTAAAAAATTTTAAATGCTAGTTTTATGATGCATACAACCCATACACGATTTAATTAAACCCTCAACCTATATATAAGTCAAAACATAAAAAGATGAGCAATTTTAAATGTATATATCTATGCATTATTAACTGATAAAGCTGATCAGAATACAGTAGCGAACGCTTAAAATAGTTTTACAGGATGTGTGTATTACGTGTACACAACCTGTGTATAGCTCAGAGGTATTTAACTCTTGGTATTGGTACGTTGTTAAGATGATGAAATATACAAATATACACAGCTTTTGTATTGGCCTAACACGCACTAGTTGATGCATGATTTGGAGTGATTAAAAATATGTGTACAATTCTGAGTTTTAAAAATAATAATTCTCACAACTCCTTGAAACATGTTTGTGTCACTGAAGATTAACAAGTAACAGTTACCAGCTAAATGTTTCCAAATATTTATTCCGAGCTAATTTTTCAAAGACAATGTATCAAATAATTGCTTTAAAAATCTGTTCCCCACAGATTATCCCCCACAGATTATCCTCGACAGATTATCCCCCACAGATTACCCTCGACAGATTAACCCCACAGATTATCCTCCACAGATTATCCCCCACAGATTATCCCCCACAGATTATCCCCCACAGATTATCATCCACAGATTATCCCCCACAGATTATCCCCCACAGATTATCCCCACAGATTGTTCCCCACAGATTATTCCCCACAGGAAGTTTCCCCCCCCCCCCACCATCACCCCCCAATATTGTTCACATGACATGCTATTCCCCTTAAAAATCCAGCGAGGTGGGTGTAGTGATGGCGTTGATCCAAAAACATTGACGTCATCAACATCACGTGCTCAGTCACCGGGAACATAACCGTACGTCACACCTGACGTCACTGATGTACCGAAACTACCTGCACCGACCATCAGTAATTAGCCAGTAATTAGCCAGTAATTAGCCAGTAATTAGGGTGATTACATGGTTAATTCTGAGGTGGGAAAGAATGGGATTGATAGTTCTCAGTTGTAATGTTATGTATCAGAGGATAAAAACACAATAGGGCTTGTAAGTAGGTCACCAGCTTCTTATCATTCTAGCCAGCTAGTATTTTTCACACCAATTGTGAATATGTTTATTAAATCGGTAAAAAAAAAAGAAACAAAAGTTACTTACGCTATTGGTAAGTTATTTAAAATCGTAAAAACCGATAATGATAGTGTGAGAATTTGCCTGACCCTGGCTAACGAGATTCAAATTTTAAGTAAGAGACTTACAAGCCCTTTTCTGAACAACGCGCGTGGAACTTCGTTCTGAAGATTCGTGTCAAAAATGTTCAGTGAAACATGCTTTCAAGACAAGTATCTAACAAGTGCAACTGTAACTGTATACTATTACACGAAGTGTGTAGAATATATGTGTGTAATCGTGTGTAATATTACAAGATTATAGTAGAATCAGGGGTGGTCTGGTCTGCTAGTATACCGGGAAAAATCATGATTGACCCCCGCGATCAGTTCGGCATTAGGCCTATTGGTACTTTAAATTTTTAAACAAATTATTTGAAAAAAATTTCTCCTTTTTAACATTTCCCTTCCTTCAAGTCAAGGCGTGAAATTCAACTTAACGGAGAAAATATGCACCATGAAAACTTCAACTTGTGCTGTGTTTGGGAGCCCATTTTCAAAATTTCCCAAGCCTCTTTGGACTAAGCGAGTCCATTCCTGAGTAGAATATACAACTATTGTTATTGTATGTAATATGAAATTCCCATTACAGTAATAATTGTTGATGTAGATTAACAGATTTGATATTTCCTTCTCATACTTTGACTTGACAAATTAAAGAAACGGTTGTGTAAGGTTCAAAATGTGACATTTAGAATTTGTAAGTATAAAACGATATAAAATAGTCAACAGTTATATCACGTATGTAATGTATGTCAACAGCATAATGAGACAAAATTCTGATTCATGCATATGCATAGAATTTTTCTTTATCTGACCTCATCTGGTCCAATAAAATGTATCCGTTGTCTGATCTGATAAACTTCCATGTTCACACTCGCAGGTATAACTTTATTTATTAAACGTCGCTATAGGCTTTCACATGTGGAAACAGCTAGTGATACTGGGACGGTCTGTCCATTCTCATCGCTTCATTTTTGGGCAGGTGTCTTTCGTGGTTCACGCTTGTGGTTTGTTGCTGGGGTTTGTTTTCCTCGTTGCTATGGGCCCGCATCCTTGACATTTCCCGTGCGCTGACCTCCTGGGAAGAGTTGCTGCTCGGCCGATCCGACCGCCCCAGGAGCGTCTTCTGGCGATCAAGCGAAGATTCTAGGTCAAGGCTATCATGGCTGCTGAATAGACTACTGGTGGAGCTTCTGACGCTGTCGGATGCTGCGTTGCTTCTGGAACCTTCGCGGACGACCGGGGAAGATGACCTTGAGTTTAGACTCGAAGGTCGGTCAGATCTAGTTAAAGGCGGGTCTTTGTGTCCAGTCTGTGGCTCCACCGTTTCTTGTTGGTCAATGTGTAGTTTAGACGTCATCATGGTAGCAATGCTCTCAGCAGACGGTCGGTCTTTTCTCTTGATCGGGGCGTACGACGACGAATGAGACGAGACCGACGACCCCGGAGAATGATCGGCGTCCGACGATATCACACTACTACTGGAGTTGACCGTGTCGAACACATTGTCTGAAAGTCTGTTCCGCTTAGACGAGTCAGATGATTTTGAACTCGTTCTAACGAGCTCTCTAATTTCATACTCGTCGATGTTTTCCTCAGGAACATCACCGGCTAGATTGTTGTGTTCTGGAGTGTGTATGGGCATCATCTGTTGCTGCTGAGTTGGTTCAGATGCAGCTAGTGTGGGTTCTTGAGGCTCTTCTCGATGACGAATCTGCGAAAGCTGAGCCGATCCCATGCCGTAGTAAACCACATCCTGGGTGTTGACCAAGGCGCTGGCCGCTGGTTGGGTGTAGGGGAACCTGGTCAGGACCTCGCTCGGGTGTCGGTCTTTTCGAATCTGCTCGTTGACCTGACAGATGAGATGTATGTCATAGTTTCAACAATCATCAAAACTCGACTTATCGTACAACACATAACAACATATAACATAAACACTTAGATCAGGAACAACGAATGCTTCAACATTGGTTAAAACTCGAGTCATACAACATAACTTAAATATTTAGATAATAAAGATTTTTCAACAATGATCGAAATTCGATACACCCTAAAACAAATAAAATAAACATTTAGATCAGAAAGAAAAGGATTTTATAGTATTGGTTGAAAAAACTTTTTAGCCTGGAATTTACTTGGTTAAACGTCAAATTTTATATTCAACCGATAAAATCAGCAAAATGATCTTTTTAAAAAAATAGCTTTTTTAAATTATTATTTTTTTATTAAACGATCTTTCATTTAATTTTGTAACTTTTTATAGTAAGTGTAAATTAGTAAATATTACTTGTGTTGTAACTTTGGATAAAAATTGCACAATAAGTCATCCTTCAGGTTATTTTGTATCAGAACAATTTTGTATGAGAAACAAGCTTTTATCAACCTATAACGCTTAGTTTCTACACTTGTAGTCGCTCAGAGTTATTTAGCCTGCAACGTGCCAATTACTTATTACCTCTACGCTATTTTTTTCATCATTGTAACATTCATTTAGTTAATTAAGAAACAGGTGAACTCTACTTCGTATGCCTAATAGACCATAATGATCGAAAATGTTTCTTTACTTTTTTGTAAGAACAGTACAACTAAATCTATCTTACATTGATATCTCTAAGATATCACAGGAAGAATGGAGAAACCAACCCTGTAATGTTAAATATACAACCAGCTAGCTATGTGCCATTTTGGGTACCATTAACCAGTGGCGTAGGCAGGCGGGGTTAGGGGGGGGGGTCATAACCCCCCCCCCCCCATAGACCCCTCGGTATATATATATATATATATATATATATATATATATATATATATATATATATATATATATATATATATATATAAAAGTTTGAGGGGGGTGCAAATCGAAAGTTTGAGGGGGTTGGGGGTGCAAATCGAAAGTTTGTCCCCGGGTAAAAATTGGAACCCCCCCCCCCCCCTTGAGACGATCCTGGCTACGCCACTGCCAGTAACGTAACGCTAAATCACCATTGATCGAGGCTCACCTTATCCAACTTGGGCGCGGTAAGAGCTGTTTTGATGTGGACAGCCGAGGCGTCACATGACAGCAGCCTCTCCCGGGGCTTGTGGGACATGCAGAAGACGTTCAGGTCGTCCTTGTCGTTGGGGTTGTGGTGGAAGTTCTTCAGGTGGAGCAGCGTGCGGCAGGCGACGCAGGTGAAGCAGTTCTTGTGGTAGAAGACCTCTTTGATAGGTCCCACCCGCTCCACTGGGTAGACCTTCTTGTTGCAGCGGAGACATAGGTCTTTGTTTGTAGGTCTCTGGTAATTCGGCACCTACACGTACATTGATATAAGGATATATGTAGGTATAGTTAGGTACATTTACATACAAATATATGTTATCGAGGACGGCGTGGCCAAGGGATAGAGCGTACGACAGCTATCCCAAAAGTCTTGATTTTGGATTAGCGCTCTGATGGGTACCTGACTCTGATGGGTACCTGACTCTGATGGGTACCTGACTCTGATGGGTACCTGACTATGGTGGGTAGCTCACTCTAATGGGTACCTGACTCACGTTAGGGAAACCAAGGCGGCTTGGCATAGTGCAGACCACACTATCTCTTCATATGACGAGGTCTATGAAACAGATAAACTCTACTTCATCTGCACCATGTGTCATGTGCACGAAAGGGAAAAGATGCTGATATTAGTTATCAAACACAGAAGATGGAGATGATGGTCCATGTGCTACATTGGCTAGGACTGTTCTCAGACGGACACCACAAAGCAATAGAAAACGAGGGCGGCCAAAAGAAATATGGAAAAGATCAATGGAGAAAGTGTTGAAGGAAAGAGGTCTAACATTGCAACAGGCAGAGGTTACAGCTAGAGACAGGATGACAGTTGATGCCTCGTGCACCAATGGGCGTTGAGAGATGATGATGAAGACGAAGATGATGATGATGATGAAGACGAAGAGGAAGAAGAAGAAGAAGAAGAAGAAGAAGAAGAAGAAGAAGATGATGATGATGATGATGATGATGATGATGATGATGATGACGATGATGATGATGATGATGATGCGAATGATGATGTTAATGATGATGATGATGATGATAATGATGATGATGATGATGATGATGATGATGTTAATGATGATGATGATGATGATAATGATGATGATGATGATGATAATGATGATGATATACGAATAGAATAATATGAATAGACTGAACTACGTAAATTACCACATTATCATCGAGCTGTGTGCCAGTTTGACCACCGTCCGACCTGACCTGATCTGTCTGTGGCACCATCGATTGACTGCCTCCCGCCGTCAAGGGGCTGAGTTGCTCCCCGTTGCTCGTGCCGTCGAAGGAAGATCTCGACGTGCTCGTTCTGGAACTCGTCGTCAGCTGTGAGGAGGGCGTGGCCTGGCCGAACTGGCTCCTCTGTAGGGATGCGTTGAGTTTGGTTGGCAAGGACCCCGGGAGCGTGTTCTGCCGGGGGTGCATGGGCTCGGGTCGGTAGGTCGAGGGTGGGGCTGCTTTAACCGAGGCGACGTAGAAAGGCCCGGGTGAGTTCTCTTTATCTGACGGTGGCGTTGGTACGCTGGGGGTTTCAGAACTTGTGGGGTTACCATTAGCCATGATAAAACCATGCTGGGATTGTGGATCCGGGGTAGTTTGTGTAGGGGGCGAGAGTTGTTGAGTTTGTTCGTAGCTGGGGAGTCTTTGAACCAGAGGGTGTGTTCCGTTAGGTGTGTTTTGGGGTAGTTGTTGTGGTAAGTACATCTGGGTGTCCATATTGGGAGGAAAGTTAGCACTGAAGTACTGTTGGTGTGGGAGTGGGAGTGGAGTGGTGGTGTACACGTAGCCATCAGTGGCGGAACCAGAGGGTAGGTGGTTCATGCCAGACCCAGGGGGTAACTGGTTCACAGCGAACGTGTTCGGTACCAGATACACGCTCCCTGGCACCGAAGACATGGCGGGGTAGTTCACCAGGGCCGGGCCGTACCCCACCAGGTTGGGGGCGTACCCCGGGGCGGGATACATCTGCTGCCCCTGGGGTCCGCCGTCGACTCTGACAGAGCTGACGGACGGGTGGTTGCCCACGGTTGAGAAAACATTTTGGGTTGACGCGCCAACCTGTGGCGGGATGTGGTATCCGCTCATTGCCGTAAAAATCCGAGTAATCCCGAAAAAGAAAACTGGTTCAGTGAATTATATCTTCATTGATAGTCCAGGATAATCCATAGAAAAATTGTTTATATTACTATTGCAAAGATGTACTCGTAAAGCCTGGTGATAAAATAAAAAGAAAATGTAAAACAAAGCATGAAAATGCAAACACTAACATAATTTTTTTTTTAAATGTAATTTCAACTTGATACAATGGAAGATGGTCAGCATGCAATCATGAAAAGATAGCAGAGAGGGTTAATTAATCCTTAGGAAGGGACTGATTTAAATAGCTGTTTAGAATAATCGTGTATAGGTATGTCAAGTATTATGAAAAAAAAAAACTCCACGAAATGCAAGTTAAGCACATAAGTAAACAACAATATCAAAGGCTTGTTTACATAACATCAATACCTTGTCATAATAAACACAGTGGCGTAGCGAGGTCGGGTGTTACCCGGTGCGGCACTTAATGGTGTCACCCCCCCCCCCCCCCAGAGGCCTAGCGACCTTTCCCGGGGACAAACTTTCAAATTTTCGATTTGCACCCCTTTCCCTCCCCCCTCAAACTTTCGATTTGCACTCCCCCCCCCCTCAAGTTTTTCTCTATATATTTTACTATTTTTTGCCTCGGTGTCACCCCCCTAAATGGTGTCACCCGGTGCGGTCGGCACCCCCCGCCCCCCCCCCCCTCGCTACGCCTCTGAATAAACATACTATACCTAGTCATGTCTACACAGACAAGATAGATCAATAACCACACAAGAAAGGGTCGTAGCCACATAAGATTGAATCAACCACACAACATCATTTCATAACCACACATCAATAACCAGACAACACATAACCACACAACATCTATCACCCACACATACGGAGCTACAACCACACACCATTGAGACACGACCACACAGAACTGAGTCATGTCTAATCAACATGGATCCATAACCACACACGATCCAGTATCAACCACACAGAATGTAGCCACATCCACATAAAATTGAGTTATAGCTAATCCACTGAGATCCATAACCACACAAGATCGAATAATAACCACACAGAATGAAGTCACAACCACACAACAAGATCGAGTCACAGCCACACCACATCAACGCATACCTTCACACCACCACCACAATCTCAACAAACCCCTTATATGACTAATCAATGCATTACCTAACCAGTAATCAAAGCTGATGTTCAACCCAACACAAATTTTTTCCACCTCCAATATAAAACAAACTTGCACTTTGTTCCGTTTAGCCTTTACAAGTATCATTTTTTAAAGTCTAGACTCTAATGAGAGAGTGGATTGTGTCCTAGTGTTGTAGAAACATGACATAGCCGGCTAACAACACCTTTATTAACATGTATGTACACGATAAAGCTAATCAGGGCTACATCTCATGTTTCATAAGGCAATAAAGACGCAGCATTGTTGGTGGTAGTGTGTACTGCTTGTTCGGATAGGGTGTAATCTACTTTCAACATCTAAACCGTGAAATCGATTGATCGGTGTGAATGTGCAGATTGGCTTCGGCTAGTGTTACAGTAGGGGGGGGGGGGGGGGGTTAAAAGTTTATTTTAGGCTAGTGTTATGGTAGGGGTGTTAAAAGTTTATTTTAGGCTGGTGTTACAGTAGACGGTGTTAAAAGTTTATTTTAGGCTGGTGCACGAGAGGTTATATGTTGACTTCGGCTAGTGTTACAGTAGGGGGTGTTAAAAGTTGACTGTGGCTAGTAGTGGGGTTAAAAGTTGACTGTGGCTAAAAGAGGGGTTAAACGTTGACTGTGGCTAGTGTTATGGTAGTGGGGTTAAACGTTGACTGTGGCTAGTGTTATGGTAGTGGGGTTAAACGTTGACTGTGGCTAGTGTTATGGTAGTGGGGTTAAACGTTGACTGTGGCTAGTGTTATGGTAGTGGGGTTAAACGTTGACTGTGGCTAGTGTTATGGTAGTGGGGTTAAACGTTGACTGTGGCTAGTGTTATGGTAGTGGGGTTAAACGTTGACTGTGGCTAGTGTTATGGTAGTGGTGTTTAAAGTTGACTGTGGCTAGTGTTATAGTAGAGGTGTTTAAAGTTGACTGTGACTAGTGTTATAGTAGAGGTGTTAAAAGTTGACTGTGACTAGTGTTATAGTAGAGGTGTTAAAAGTTGACTGTGGCTAGTAGAGGGGTTATAAGTTGACTGTGGCTAGCATTATAGTAGAGGTGTTAAAAGTTGACTGTGGCTAGCATTATAGTAGAGGGGTTAAAAGTTGACTATGGCTAGTGTTATAGTAGAGGTGTTAAAAGTTGACTGTGGCTAGTAGAGGGGTTATAAGTCGACTGTGGCTAGTGTTATAGTAGAGGTGTTTAAAGTTGACTATGGCTAGTGTTATAGTAGAGGTGTTTAAAGTTGACTATGGCTAGTGTTATAGTAGAGGTGTTAAAAGTTGACTGTGGCTAGTAGAGGGGTTATAAGTCGACTGTGGCTAGTGTTATAGTAGAGGTGTTTAAAGTTGACTATGGCTAGTGTTATAGTAGAGGTGTTAAAAGTTGACTGTGGCTAGTAGAGGGGTTATAAGTCGACTGTGGCTAGTGTTATAGTAGAGGTGTTTAAAGTTGACTATGGCTAGTGTTATAGTAGAGATGTTAAAAGTTGACTGTGGCTAGTGTTATAGTAGAGAGGTTAAAAGTTGACTGTGGCTAGTAGAGGGGTTATAAGTCGACTGTGGCTAGTGTTATAGTAGAGGTGTTTAAAGTTGACTATGGCTAGTGTTATAGTAGAGATGTTAAAAGTTGACTGTGGCCAGTAGAGAGGCTAAAAGTTAACGTTGAAGAATACAAAATAATGTCAACAAAAAACACATTTCATTTTACACAGACTTTTTAAAAACAAAAGCAAATTAGAAATAATTTCTCAAATAATTAGAAAAGAATACTGCGATGTATTGGAATTTCACGTCAGGAACATACATCGAAATAGGGTCCCAATGGCATTGGACAAGAAGGTCCCTATTTCAACGCCGTATGTTTATATGTTTATTGGATATTTCTATCCCCCCCCCTTACGTAAATGTGTTGGTGTCCTATTAACTCAGACACGTCTGTTGTTCCAGGAAAATCTATTTGAAGGAAAGAAATAATAAATTATCGCCCTTAGACACTTGAGTTTTTTTTTTTTTTTTTTTTTTTTTTTTTTTTTTTGTACTTTCTGAAACTGTTTGCAACGTCTGAATAATTCGTCACAGATTTCGTGTTTAATAATATCTCGACACACAAACATGGCAACAAAAGATGCCTTGTGATCTAAAAATAGCACTTCTTTTGTCGCTCATAAAACCCATTTTGTTCTTGTTGCACCCAGTGGAAGATGAATCTGTCACAGACAGAATTTTGTATGACGAGACAGGAAAAAAAAAAATCTGGGTAAACAGGTCTTTATTGTTTCGTTAGTTGCTACATGTTTTGGTCATGCCATTAAATTCACACGTAAAAAATATGGACCTGTAATATAAGCAATCCTCCTTGATGGTTGGTTTATATGGAAAAAAAATATTATAGATTGGTTTGTTTTACAGGGGCGGAACTACAGTACCGCCAGACCCCGCAATGCGGCCGGGGGGGGGGGGGGGCAGGCCATTTAGGGGCCCACGGCCGACCATAATCAATTTTTTAATAGTTAAAAAAATAATTTTGTTGTAAAAAAAAACCCAGATCTACTACAGTAGTGATGAACTACAGTAGCTAACACACGCTGTTTCGCAAAAGAAAATAATATATAGGCTACATGAGTTGTAGTGTGAAAGATAGCCAAACGTTTAAACCACGTCCGTGACTTATTTCCCTTTTTAAAAAGTCAAATATGTGTGCTCTTACGAAACTTTTAACAGATTTGCACTTAACAAATTAAAAACCAATTACTTCTCTTAATTATTTAACAAAAAATACATTATACAGAATGACATAAAAAGGAAATATATTAAAAACTAATAATGTAAATACCAAAAAACAAAAAAATAAACATAAGGCGAGAAACCATTACACATACAAAGCTTTCATGCTTCATATTCTTTGACCGTCATATAACTTATAAAGCACTATGCCAGACATTGAAACACAGAATTTTAAAACACTTAAAGCACTCGCACAAATGATGTGTTGTTGTAACATATTTTAACTGAAGAAATAAACACAAAAAATTGTATTGTTTTCAAATTTCGAACAAGCCCGTGTTAAGTATTCATATATATATACGAGAAAAATGGCCCGTTGAGGAAGGATACACCGGGCGCTAGGCTGATAGTGCTGTCTCTTTTCTCTAAACTAAAACCACCCCAGCCCCCCCCCCCACACACACCCACCCCACCCACACCCCCCCACACCACCCCCCCCACCCCCCCACACCACCCCCCCCACCCCCCCACCCACCCCACACCCCCCCACACCACCCCCCCCCCCCACACCCCCCCACACCCCAAAAAACATGTATACCGTCCCATTCAACGAAATATAATTATATACTTTTTCCAGTGTCCGCCCCCTCCCCGAAAATTCTACCCCCACCCCCGAAAATTTCAAGTACCCCCCACCACTCTCCGGGGAGGAAAAAGTCTAAATTAAAACCACCCCCCCCCCCCCCCACTCACCCCCCTCCCCCCCCCCCCACCCCCCCCCCCCCCCTCTAAAAAAACATGTCTACCGTCCCATTCAAC